GGAGATAGTAAACGATAAAAAGGGTTTGAATATGGGTATGTTAGGACTAATTGCTGTTTTACACAGGTCACCAGCTTTTAGTAGACAGAATGAGAGAGGAAGAAGTTTATGGTTGAGATATCCATGTCCTCCTCCACATTTTTGGAGAGAAATAGATTAGGAAATCCTTTCTTGTTTTCTACAACTGTATCATTCACTTCATTAGACCACATAGTCTCCTGTTAAGATATCTTGTATTTATAACATCTGTCAATTGGATTAGAAGACTAGTTTCTTAATACATAGTGCCATTAGGAATTTTGAAAAGCATATGGGGTGTGATCTCTGTGAGGATCCACATGAAATAGTGATGGCTCGAAATTGGGAAGAGACATTGGAGTGGGGAACTGGAGTCTTAAGAATCTTGGAATTGAAAATTGATAGACATGTGACCTATAGGAAGAACAAGGAGATCAGAATTCATTTGCTGAACATTTATTGAATGCTCAGTATTTGCAGGGTACTATGACAGGTTGATGCCAGCAAAATTCCTTAGAGAACACTAGTGTAGGTATATAGACTCTGGGAATAAAGACTGTTCATTTGGAAAGCTGGTGCTTGTTACGACAGTACTATCAGAGGAGCTGGACACAAGCCAAGGATACAAGTGTTGTAAATCCAAGTCATAGGGAAAAAATATAGCTAGACTATAAATTTTTTCAGTCTAGAACAGCTATGTGATTAATACATGTGTGTCTAAGAACTGCTATGTATAGTATTTTTATTTTTATTTTTAACCAATCATTTATTTTTGAAATGAGCAGAATATTTGCATGGTTGAAAATAATACTAGAAAGTATCCCATAGAATATTTCCTTTCTAGGGGCCAGGGAGATGGCTCAGTAGAATAAGCACTTGCCTGGCAAGTGCAAGGACCTGAGTTCAATCCCTGGTTCCGCCAAAAAAAAAAAAAAGAATATTTCCTTTCTATTTTATCCTTCCTCCTATATAGTTCCTTCTTTGTTTTTCTCCAATCAGATTTTATTGGTATATTCTAGATATACATAATGATCTTGTTCATCATAAAGAATCTGTACCTGTTCATAATAGGTACTCAGCGCACTTGAGGGCAAAGCCAGTGTGGCATGTGGTGTGGGAGTTTGCTGGTCCCTGTGCCTGCCTGCCTATGTACCTGAGCTATCTCACTGGTCCTCTTTTTTTTTTCAAAGTTTTATTGATAAACAGCAATGAGACAGTTTCAAATCAAATCGGAAGTACAGTTTCAACAAATAACTGGTCCTCTTTTTTAAAAACCCATTCCCCTGTCCTCCCTTAACTCTTTTGCCCTTCTCCATTTACAAAAGCTTTATTCATATTCTGTCCTCTTTTTCTTGCTCCTCCCCTCACTTCTTCTTCCCCCACCCATTTTTTTTTTTTTTTTTTGGTGGTGGTATTAAGGATTTGGGACCTTGCCCTTGCAGACAGGTTCTTATGTGCTGAGCTGTGTCCCTGACTCTGGTCTGACCCTTTGTTTTTTGAGATAGAATTTTGCTTTGTAGTTCAGTCTGGCCTTGAATCTACTATGCAATCTGGCCTGGGCTTAAACTTGCAGTGATCTTCCTGCTTTAGCCTGGCAGTTACTGGGATTTCATACTATTCCTGGTCACAGTTCCCTTTTATGTAAATAGAATTTAAGTGCTGGAAACAGAAACCATTTTGGGTATTTTAACCACAAAAGAATTTAAGTGAGAACATTGAGTACTCACAAAATTACCAGAAGGGATAGAAGAATGGGAATCATGGGTTTTTTTTTTTCTTAAGACTACCAATTTGGGAGGCCCATGCCTGGTGCTGTTATCTGGGGTCCATTAAGTCACTACTGCCACCCCCACCACTCACTGCTGCTTGACACTCATGAAGCATGTGACCAGACATGTGACCTTTGCTGCTACAGGCATACACAAAAGCTTGAGAGGGCCTGCACTAGTTTATCATGCCTGGCATTAACCTGTAGGTCTCTGTGATCTTGTTGTCACGTGTAAGCAGTTAAAGAAATGGAATGGACTTTCACAACCTGTCTTTTGAACTGACTGCACTTACCAAAATAACTATAGCTGTTCTTTTCTTGTGCATCCTTGTCTAGCATGTGAAGCCCTGGGTTCAATCCCTAGCACTGCAAAACCAAAACCAAAGCAAACCAAAGCTAAACCAAAACAAAAGTAGAAAGTCTAGGGCCAGGGAGATAGCTCAGTGGAATAAGTGCTTGCCTGGCAAGTACAAGGTCCTGAGTTTGATCCTGATACCACCAAAAACAAGCAAACATACAACCACATACAACAACAAAGCCTCAACCCCCCAAAAAATAAATAAAAGTAATAAGTCCTCATACACAATATTCAGCATCATTTAAAGTAATATTTCATTATGAGCACTTTCAACATCACGGTGTACAGTCTTTTTTTGGTCTTTTTTCGAGATAGAGTTTCACTATGCAGTTCAAGTTTCAAGCTGGCCTTGAGCTCACTTTGTTCTCCATGAAGGCCTCAGAGTTTAGCAATCTTCCTACCTCAAGCTCCCCAGTGCTCAGATTATAGGTGTGCAACACCACACCTGGCTAGAATCATTTTTTTTCAAAGTTTTATTGATAAACAGCAATGAGACAGTTTCAAATCAAATTGGAAGTACAGTTCAAAAAATAATACACTGCATATATTCTTCTTAGTGGTTAATTACTGTACAAGATGCAGACTTGTGATCCTATTTACAAACACCATTAGAACAAATCATTCTATTCATTAAGAGAATGCAACTATATATCTATCCCAACCTCTTTGAATACACAGATACAAAATGGACATTCATCGGTATACCCCATTTTTTCTAAGTTCCGTTATTGAATATTATAGGTGTGTAAACTCAGCAAAATATTCTAAAAGAGTCCAGTAGCCCATAATAGCATTGGGTCTTCTGTTTAACTGGCAATGTCAGAAATTATTGACCTGAGTCCCCCACAGCTCAACTTAACAGCATGGCTTTATTTCTTATATTTCGACTTCATACTTTTCTACTGGATGGTTAAGACCAAGGTAAAGCAGGACCTATGCAACAAGAGTTGTAGCTTTTTGGTCTGAGAAGGTCAGTGAAATGCCCTCAGGATTTGTCCTGAGATCCTGTACCTCAGATTGTAGAACCTTTATCAGTGCAGCCATGTGGATGAGTCACGGCCATTCCTTGGCCAATGTGCTCTCTGTGAAAACCTGAGAGAGTGTCTTCTCCCCATGTGACTCTCCTTAGGCCCACTCTATGTCATCGATCACTTTCCTGTTTGGCCCCATAATCTTCTTGATCAGAAAATTTGGGACACTACTGAGGTACATGACGTTACAGTACAAGTTCTCATATGTCCTGAGTCTTAATTGACCTTAGAAGGCTAGGGCCAAAATGTTGGCTTTCCTTGTATCCCTCCTTTTTCTCTAATTTTGGTCTGCAAACTTAGGTTGTTAACCATCCAGAAGAAAAGCTTATTGTTATTATCAAACGATTTGGGCTATCAATCTTAACCTCACTATCTCACTGCATTTCAAACATCTTAGGCATAATAAGGAACAGGCATTTTTCATCGAGTATTGATATGTTGAACTTTAAGTCCCTACAGAATATGATAAAAAAACATTTAAAAATTAGATTATATTTTAAAAAATAGGATAAAGAATTCTATGCTTCTCATGTTTGCACATAAGTCCAAAAATCTAACCATATACAACCTTGAAGCAGGACAGCCCCACAATATTCCTTTTCCTGTCTCTTGCTTTCATTCACCACCCCCTTCTTCTTGAACATCCACCTACCCGAGAGACATCTTAGCAGTAACTGGTATGTCATGACAAGCCGCCCATATTCAGAATACCACAATGACAGGCACTCCCAACATGAAACAACTGTTACAAATTACCATCTGCAGTGCAGTTGCTTAGTTCCCAGGTATCAGTATATATAGTTAGTCAGGCTGAGAATCTTTCCGATTAACTCCTAGATTAAAGAATCTTCTGAATATTCTCCGGATCATTGCCTTGCTCATCTTCTACATATAACTGCATGGCTTAACATTGCCATGTTTCCTAGCTCATCTCCTTTCCCTCTCTTGATTAGTTAGTCCTTGAGATCCTGCCTTCCTTTTCCTTGTATTATATCTTTCTATTTGTATTTCTTCTTTAGAGTTCTTATACTAGGGAGACTATACGATATTTACACATGTGTGTCTGGTTTATTTCACTTATGAGTATATGTTCAAAAAATATGGAACGCTTCACGAATTTGCGTGTCATCCTTGCGCAGGGGCCATGCTAATATTCTCTGTATCGTTCCAATTTTAGTATATGTGCTGCCGAAGCGAGCACTAGAATCATTTTTTTAAACAACCAGATATTATTCCATTATACAGATTATGAAATGCTTAAAATTAACACTGTCTGAAGAAAAAAAATTAACACTGTCTGATACAATCTGGCATGCATGATCATTCCAACTTAATGGCACATGTTAAATATAATCTAGTTGTTAACTGCTTTCTTTCTGCTTACTACATGCTGAGCCTTTTGTATATGTCATCTCCTATAACTGGCACTGTAATCTAATGTACAGGGCTATGAAAGCTTAATTTAATGTTATTTATAATTAGCTATTTTGAGACAGATTCTCTCTGTGTATTGTAGGCTGTCCTGAACTTACTCTGTTCCAGGCTCTGACTGGCCTTGAATTTATGACAGTCCTTCTGACTCAGCCTTCCAAGAGCTGGGATGATGGGAGTGAGGCATCGTGCCTGGTTAATGTTTATAAACTGAAGCCTATCTAGGTTGAGATTTGAAGCCAAGTCTGTTGTTCTCCTCCAGTTGCACAGCATCTCTAAATGATAGGCCTTTAATACTTTGGTAACATGCTTTGGTAGAAAAGAGGTTTGGAAGGAGACCCCTTTGGATATTTTTTGGTTGGTTTTAAAGGAATTTCAATTTTTTCTGACTCAGGTATCCAGCTCACATAGAAGACATTGACTACGAAGAAGGAAAAGTACTCATCCATTTCAAGCGTTGGAACCATCGTTATGATGAGTGGTTTTGCTGGGACAGTCCTTATTTACGCCCTTTAGAGAAAATACAGCTGAGGAAAGAGGGTTTACATGAAGAGGATGGATCTTCTGTGAGTAACAGATCCTGGGCGGTTCTTTAATAAATGGGGTCAGCCATTGGACAGTTCTGTTCGAGACTTTGATGTTTTGTGGAAAATCAGTATCATCTGGGGATCAGTCCTTATTTTGACTGTTAGTTGTAGTTATTAGATTTCTGTGGTATCTAGGGCTCTTAAAAATCCTGGTCTTCATCTGTTTGATGTGTTTAATATTACTATCTATCTATCTTATGTATTTAGTACAGGGCCTACAGGGTCTTACTACATAGATTGGAATTGTAGTGATCCTCCTGTTTACAACCTCCCTAGTGCTGGGTTTACCAGCACATGCCACTACACCCAGTTTCAGTCGCCATCTGAGGTGCTTTAGTCTGCTGAGCTCTCTGACTGGCCCTACAATTTATAAATTCATTCAGTTTTTTTTTTTTTTTTTTTTTTGAGACAGGGTCTTGCTATGAAGAAAGCTTAGACTGGTCCTGAACTCATGACAGTCTCTCTGTTTCAGCTTTCTGAGTGCTGGCATGACAGGCATGTGCCACCATGCTTGGCACTTTTTTATTTTTAAATGTATTTGGTACAGGATCTTACTACACAGCTTGAACTTCTAGTGATCCTCCAATTTCCAGCCTCCTCAGTGCTGGACTTATAGGTGTGTGCTACCACACCTGGTCTAGGTGGCCCATTCAGTACACCTGGGGCCAGGGCTGGTATGGCATGTGGTGCCAGGAATTGTACTCTGGTCCCTGAGGTTGCCTAAGCAGGTGCTTAGTCTGCTGAGCCATCTTGCCAGCCACTTTACATCCCTGCTTTTCTAGCTTGTAGAACATTGCCTGGTACATAGTAGATTTTCATTTGTTACATAAAGGAATAAATGATTGAATTGTAGATCCATTGTTTCTAGAGTACTGTGTACTACATATCCTAACATAGATTATTTATTAAGCTTATTTTTTGTCTAATCATTTCATGTGTGGATCCCATGTTACTTTGTACATAGGATGAATGATGAACTGTTTTCCCCTATTATTATGCCGGGAGCTTTTAGAATGGTACCTCAGTTCATGACTTAATTCTTTTTTTTTTTTTTTTGTGGAACTGGAGATTGAACTCAGGCCCTTGCACTTGCCAGGGAAGCGCTTATTCCACTGAGCCATATCCCTGGCCCCCTTAATTCTGTGTTTATGGTCACAAACTGAATTGGATGAGAACTGAGTCAAATTTCTCCTGAAGGTCAACATTGAATCTAAAACCACTGATTTTGATTTAGTTCTCATCCAATTTGGTTTGTGATCAGAATCAAGAATTAAGTTTATGAACCGAGGTACCACTGTAACGGTTTCAAAATGAGTTTTAGTATAAAAATTTTTAGAATAGCTGGCTGTGTTGGCACAGGCCTGAATCCCAGCACTGGGGAGGCTGAGGCAGGCGGTTCACCTTGAGTTTGAGGCCAGCTGGGCTACAAAATGAGTTCAAGTCAGCCTAAACTAGATAGCTAGACTGTTCTCTCTCTCTCTCTCTCTCTCTCTCTCTCTCTCTCTCTCTCTCTCACACACACACACACACACATCCTGTAGTAATCATGCTGCTTTTGGATCTGACTCAGCCTGGATTCTGTTTTCCATTTTAATTTTCACAAAGGAACTTGAACTCTGGCTGGCCTTTTGCTTCACTTTGTTTTTTCACCCTCCACTTCAGGATTGTTTAGTAGTGTTCCATTTGATTATTCAGTAATCATTCTAAAGAATTTACCAATGCAAATGGTGTTTTGGGAAAACAAGATAAGATATGAAAGGTGAATGGATGCTTCCCTTGCTAAAAGACTCCTTACAAGTTTGGAGTGGCATTAAATCGCATGAGTACTGCTTTGCTGATTATGCAGTAGGCTCATTCCTTCCAGCTCTTAAGCTGGGTGTGTGTCCCTGTGGTCCAGGACTGTTAGCCTCACTTTTAGGGCACATCCTGGATAGGAGAGGATTTCCTCATCCTTTCATGCTTGCCCAGGCTGCTGCTCTTGGTGGGGAGGTATTGTTCTCAACTCTTTCGTTTTGACTTCCAGTGCCAAACAGCAAATTGCCTTCCTCCATCCCAATAGAGCATTCCCTTTCTAGCTCTCTTAGCAACCTCAGCCTCTTTTATAAATTCTGGTGTCATGTGTGTCCTATGCAATTTAATTTGTAACAGGATTTTTTTTTTTAATTTTTTTTTTAGGAATTTCAGATAAACGAGCAGGTCCTTGCTTGCTGGTCTGATTGTCGTTTTTATCCAGCCAGAGTCACTGCTGTTAACAAGGATGGTAAGGCATTTGAGCTGTAGTTATTTTTGCTTGTGACTTAGTGCAGAGTTGGTAAAACGAGAGTTTAATAGTTCATTGTCAGTATTTATTGCCTAGGAATCCTCTTTATTCAAATTAATCAGCATGCCAATAGTTAGGAAGAGATTATAAATGGGAAGAAAACGGAACGAAAAGGAGAGTTTGTTATTTTCTAAAACAATTTGTCATTCAGCTGGAAAGTGTCTCGTTGTCTAGGACAGTGATGGCAAGCCTTTTTTGAGCTTTCAGTGACATAAATAGCACACTGGCATGTGCGCCATTGGTCTGCCACTACTACTCTAGGACTTTTTTTTTTAAAATTAATTTTAATGAGAAATCACAATGAGACAGTTTCAAACAGGTTAGTTTTTTTTTTTTGACTTTCTAATATAATTGGTGAAATAAACCTCTATGTTCCTTTACTTGTTTGTGAATAGCTGAAAATTAAATGAACACCAGTAAACATAAAATTTGCTTTGTGTTGCTGGGTGAAGTGATGCATGTCTGTAATCTCAGCTTTGAGGGATCCTGGGGCAGAAGGACTACAAGTTTGAATCTTACCTGGGCCACTTAGTGAGACTCTGCTTCCAAATAAAAAATAAGGCAGGGATAGTTCAGTGGGCAAGCCCTGATTTCAGTCCCTGGTACTGGAAAACAAACAACAGCAAAAAACCAAGTTTTTTGGATACAAAGTGAGTGAGGGTAGAAATAGAGATGCTGGGACACAAAGCACTAAATTGAGTTGCCTTTGCCAGAGCTTAGAGCATGCGAGGAGACAAGAAACTGGACCCAGAGAGGTTTGTTTTGCTGGCAGAAGGCTATGGTTTCATTCCTCAATACCATAAAATAAAAAAAAACCAAATGGCAAATGAGGGTAATGATCAGAGTCCTGGTACTTGGTGATAACTTTTTCAGTCTACTTTACCAGAACATTAGGATATAGCTTTGATCTTTGAGGTGAATGGTTAGGACATTCAGGACTCTTGGTGCCACCGTTGGAAGTGACTAAAAAGCTAGATTGAGAAGTTGGGGAGTTTGTGCAGTGGTAGAGCGCTTAAAAAACATGTACAAGGCCTTGTATAAGGTTTTAGTTCCCAGCACTGAAACAAAACAACCAATTAGAAATCAAGGTAGATTAATTTTTCATTGAGTGAAAATTCTCTGGCTGAGGAGATAGCGCAGTAACATAAATGCCTACCTCACAAATATGAGGTCCTGAGTTTGATTCCTGTACCAAAGAAAAAAATACTTCCAAAAAACCCTGAAAATTCTCAAGTGCTGGCTTCAAACTGACCACATTTTGTCTGAAATGGTTTAAGTGGTCAAAAATAAATCCAGGTGTGGCTGAATGTGCCTGTAATCTCAGCACTCTAGAAGGCTGAGGTAGGAGGATCACAAATTCAAGCCTAGTCTCTGCAATTTAATGAATTAGCAAGACTGTCTCCAAATCAATAAAAACATAAGCTGGGATATAGCTCCCTGCAAAGGCTATGGTTTCTTTCCTCAGGACCATAAAATAAAAAACCAAAAAAGGAAAATTTCCAAAGCAAAATTGTGCCCTCTGAGTTGTTATTGGTACTCCAGGTCATGACTGATGAAGTCCTTTTCTATAGCTTGTTTCTCTAAATTATTTTTATAAGCTGTGTTCAAAATGAAATTTGTTATTACTGCTTTAATATGTAGTATGTATTACATTAATTTACAAACTTATTTTTGGAGAAAGCTTACATATTATTGAACTACTTCAAATCCTTGTTAGTAACTCACATACTTGGGTTTCAAGAAGAAAAAAATACTTTGCCTTTTGAGTCTTTCATTTTTTACATTATATGTTTATGATACATAATACATATATTCATCCTGGTAGATTTTTTTTTCCTTACTGACTTTTGAAAACGTGTGGTCATCACGTATGTAAAATGTGCTTCTGAAAAATGCAGGGTGATGTCTGGTGATACAGTGATGTTTTTCTCTTGAGTAGTATCTGTTGGAGGTGTACGCCTTTTAGCTTAAATGAAAGCTCTGGGTAGTAACATAAGTAACTCCTTTGACAAAAAAGGTAACAAGAGGGAACATTCTTTTTTTTTTTTTTTTTTGTTTTAGGGATGTCCCAGAGTTGGGGGACAGAAACAGGACAAAGGTTAGATGAGTGAATGGCAAGGGAAGAAGGGAATGACAACTCTCGAGAAAGTGCGTTTCAGGAACCTTTGGAGCAATCTCTTAGAGGAGTCGAAGTATCTTGATGGAAGGGTGAATCATTTAGTATCTGCAGAACTTAGAATCTGGGATCGTGGATTGGAAAAAATAAGCCTTGGTAGAAGGCATGTGAAGTTGGGACTGATGGAGCTAGTGGGAGGAGGCGAGGAAGGAGTGGGATGGTGTGAATGGATCCATAGAAGGGGCAGAAGGGTACCTGTCAGCAGGGTTTTGTGTGAGAGCTGGGTCTAAAATGTTTTGAAATAATTATTTAAGGACTAAAAGTTACTGACCAGGGGTATGTGTCTGAATGGTAGAGCTCTTGCTTTGCATGCACAAGGTCCTGGGTTTGATCCCTTGCTTTGCATGCACAAGGTCCTGGGTTTGATCCCTAGCCACCACCACCACAAGAAAGTCCCTGACCATATTATTGGCTATGGTTAATTAAGGTTTTTTTAAAAATTGTGATTGCTAATTAAACCTAGGGCATTGTGCGTGCCAGCTGAGCATCCCATTCTCCCCTTTTATTGTTATATTTTTAAGTTTGAGAAGAGTCTCACTAAGTTGAGTCTGGCTTTCTTCAAACTTGTGTTCCTCCTGCCTTAGTCTTTCAAGTAGCTAGGATTACAGATGAGTGCCACTATGTTTAACTAATTGGGTTTGTTTGTTTTTTGTTTTGTGGTACTGGGACTTGAAGCTAGGACATTGGCACTAGGCTACCTCCTGATTGCCTTTTTAATTTTTCTTTTTTTTTTTTTATATATTTTAGGAAAGGGTGTTCAGGGTCTCACTACTAGATCGGACATATAGTGATTTCTCTGTGTACAGCCTTCAAAGAGCTGGGATTATAGGCACCCAGTCTCAATTGCCCTCCCAGTGCATCATGGGGGCAGGGCTGGCACAGCAGGCCTAGGGATTGAAGCCCTGTCCCTGCACCTGCTTGCAGATGCTTTAATCCGCTGAGTTATTTGACTGGCCCTTTTCAATTTTTAACAGTCTTTTTGTTTTGGTACTGGGGATCTTGTGCTTTAATATAGAGTCTTGTTAAATCACTAAGTCACTGCTTCAGTTTGTGATGTTAGCCTCCCCAAGTTCTGTACCTAAAAGCCCCTGCCTCCATGCCTAGTTCTAATTAGAGTTAAAATGGTTTTTAAGGCCACACATGGTGGTACACACCTGTAGTCCCAGTTGTACCATTCAGGAGGTTGAGGTAGGAGGATTGCCATAACTTTGAGGCCAGCCTTGGCTATGTAATTAGTTCAAGAGATCATCTTGACCTACATAGTGAGACCCTGACTCTTTTTAAAAAAAAAGAAAGAAAAGCTTTTTAAATTGGGATGACCAGAACATTACAAATTAAAAGAAAAAATTTTTAGTTGTGCTTCCCTAATGAGCTAAAATTATGAGTCCTAGGTTATGGTTGTTCTGAAAGTGGTCATTTGCCACCATACCACATTGGTTTTATAAACTCTAAATTCTGTTCCAGTGAATTTTAGTTAATTAAAGGACATGAAAAATGAGTGCAGGGAGCCGAGGAGATGGCTCAGTGGAATAAGTGCTTCCCTGGCAAGTGCAAGGGCCTGAGTTCAATCCCCGGTTCTGCCAAAAAAAAAAAAAAAAAAAAAATGAGTGTAGATTTCTTCTAAACCCTCTTTACCTGAAATCCTTAAGTCAAAGCTCTGTTATTGAAACTCATTGGAAGTGGGAGGAGCAGGGACATTCTAAACGTGGAAGTTAGTGGGACAGGATGGGTGGTGTAATAGCTGCTGTGTGAGTGGTAATAGCTAGCGTTTGTGGGAGTTTTCTCTTGTGTTGTTGGAGGTAGAACCTGGATCCTTGCATATGCTTGGCAAGCATTGTACTGCTTAGCTACATCATGAGTCCAAGACAGTGATTGGTGCTATAGTTGGTGAGCATTTTCTACTTAGGTTTCATTTTAGTATTTGTGGGATTGAGAGCTGTAACATTGCATACTCTTCTCACTTTTTTTTTTCAGTTACTTTTCTCTCATTGCTGGGACAAAATACCTGACATACAGAATTAGGGAAGGAAAGGTTTATTTAGCTCACAGTTTGTGCAAGTTTCAGTCTGTAATCAGCTGTCTTTTTTTTTTTTTTTTTTGATACTGGGGATTGAACTCAGGACCTTGTGCTTGCCAGGCAAGCGCTTATTCTACTGAGCTATCTCCCCAGCCACCAATGCGTAATCAGCTGGCTCCAAGGCAGAGTTGGCACATGGCAGAAGGGAGCTGTTCTTGGCGGCAGAAAACAGCAAAACAGCAAGAGCAGAAAGGGAAGAGCTGTGGCAGCATAGAGCAAGCCTCTCTCCCTCCCTTATGTTGCCTTCAGGCATGTAGCACTCACACCCATAATCCCAGCACTAGATGATGAATTAATCTCAAACTCTAGAAGCCCCCCCACCCCACTACATGAAGCTTTGGGGGATCAACTAGACACAAACCATAACAACCCCATCCCCGAAGTTCTCTGCCTTGCTTGTTTTGTCAGTAGAAAGGGGCACCACAGCTGTATGATGCTGGGAAGAAGAGCCTTGCTGGCATGGTTCCCCTTTTACCTCCTGTAAATGACTTGGTCTTGCTAGGATGAGGCTTGGGATAGTGAAGTGACATTCATCTTTGGGCTGATTTTCTTTTTCTTCTTTAACAAATGTGAGCCCATCCTGGCTGGCTGGCTGGCTGGCTGGCTGGCTGGCTGGCTTATTTATTTATTTATTTATTTAGGCAGAACCGGGGATTGAACTCAGGCCCTTGTGCTTGCCAGCGAAGC